ATCTTGGCCTTAATCTCGCGGCGGTGCTGATGTGCTCAGGTCGTGAGACGTCCGATGTGTGTTCGTGTCCGATGCACAGTCAGTGCTCATCTCTCATTCGGTCTCCTGTGTCTGGGACGTGCAGCCGTGCCTCTGTCCTCCCACTTAACATATCTTCTTTCCTGGGTGCATGCTTCTATCATCAACAGATAAATAAATTGCTTGCCTGGCTGTCGTAAGTCTTGAAAGCACCGTATATTCTTTTAGTTTAAATAAGAATACACTGTACGGAGGGGATTTCTAACTGATTTCCCCTCTCCTTGATTATTGTTCCATTTTTTTTCTCTTCATGACCTGTATTTCTGATTTGTGGCCCACACGCCGCTCCTGATGGCCAGCGGGATGCTGCTGGCTCAGGTCTCTGGTGTATAGGCGTGCGGTAGGAACGGCGCCGCTGGACACGGTGGCAATTTAACCGTGACATGATGCGACATCTTCTCCCTTTAGGAGCAACGGGGTTTCTCAGGACGGAGAACGTGTCCTTTCTGGTGAAATCACCCAAGGGGTGATCTAGATTACATCAGTAAAATGGCCATGCCTCGTCTGAGTTATTTCTCTCAGAACAGAGTGCTGGAAAACACCAGCAAGATGCTTTGGAAAAAATGGTTTGTAGAAATGTGAACGGATATGGTTTTCCTTTCTTTAATATTTTGGAATATGAAGAAATCAAGGAGTTCAGTGGCCCTGCCTTTCTGGGTTGATAAGTTATCTGAAAAGAAAAAATGTAATTTTCCAAGCATTTCAATTTGCTAAATTAATCATTTAATGCTTGTTAAGATCTACGGTGTAGCAGCTGCACGTGTTCCCATATTGCTGTACCGTAGTTCCAGCAAATGGATATCGAAAAAAAGGAAATCATGACAACTGGAGAAGGATCTGTGATACATGCTTTGCAGCTTTACGGAAACTGTGCTTTGATCATCTATTCTCTTAACAATTCCAGGTGTTGTTAAGGTGGATTATGGGGATGTGTCCGTCAGGAAAGCACTAAGAGAAAATCTGAAGTGTAAACCCTTCTCGTGGTACTTGGAAAACATCTATCCCGACTCCCAGATTCCACGGCGCTATTACTCGCTTGGTGAGGTACGAACCGTTTCCTTTGGCTAAATGAAAACAGTAAGTACGTTGCGCAAACGGAGGCATCGCTAAGAAGATGAAGTGGTTTTGGAGAAAGGAATAAAGCGCTTGTGTGCCTTCTCTGTATCTCATTTACCCTTTATTTTGAGCAGGGTATGTTTTCCCTAAATCTTTCGTAAGGGGGCACTGCTGTTCTGAATGTGTATGTTCACCATTAAAAATTTATCTTTTAAATTGAGTAGCGTATTGGAAAAGTGAGGCTTGTGACTAATATTTTGAAATTATTGCGTAACATGCGGTAGTTGAAGGAAACTTTCCATCATCACTTACCCCTTACACGTAGAGTAGGAAAAGCTTTTTGTGCTTTTTTCTTTTCAAGAAATGTGTTTGTTCATTGATGCTGTGTTTTCCAGCAAGGCTGCCTGGAGCTGAGTGTCACAGACGCTCCTAGTGACCTGACGATTCCAGTACCACCGAGAACTGAAGTCTCTTTAAAATTCAGATAATTCACTGTTAAAAATATTCTATTGAGTTGTACCTACATTGACTTTTAAAAGCTCTTGAATGGTTTGATTTAAAGATAGCTACGGATAGAATAGCAATCAAACGAGCAGATGGCTTTTTTACATCCAGGAAAGTAATTTACTACTGAAACTTGCAATTGTAGTAAAAAATAAAAGCCACAGTAGGGTTTCCAGTTTAACTATGACAAAATAAAGTGAAACCTGGTTTTACAGCAAGGAAAGAACTCATCGAACAAGTGTCAAATAATAAGGTTTTGTATGATATTGTCAGACTGGAAAATAAAAGTGTGAGAAAGTAATAAAATAGTTATTAAAACACCTTATTTTTACCAACACAGCCTCAGTTTCTATGGAAACAGCGATTCGGGCAGGATCTATGAATTAAAACCCATACTTGACTATTACTGCTGCTGATTGCCAGTTGAGCAGTAAAGTGGATTTTTAGACCTAAAGCTCGGGTACCAGCAGCAGCAGCAACGGGCAATTTTTAAAACATCGGAAGTGTATTTCTCAGTCATTGTCCTCTCTTTCAGCAGGCGTTTAGTCTCAGGTAAGACAAACCGCCTGACTCCTCGGTGCAGCTGGGGTCGTGAGTCCGCCAACGGTCCGCGATGCGCCCCAGCTGCTCTGCGGGATGCGCTGTGCGTGGAGGCGGCCCGGTCCGGGGCTGACCGTGCTCCTCCTCCGCTCGCGTCAGAGAGGAGGCGATGCTCAGCAGCCCTCAGGTGGGAGCCGTGGGTTTGCTGGCCGCTCAGAATCGGGTTTGGTAATAAACCTGAGAAAATTATCCCGTAGCGCAGTGCATTCTAAATGTAATGAGTGTTCAACCTTGGGCCTCAAATTATGTTACGCAAGTGCGTATTTTGTTCTTTTGTAGTATGAACAGTGATAAAAAGAGTGAATAATTTTGACAGATTTGGGATAACCATCCTTCATTTACTTATGACCTCCTGCAAGATAGTGCAGGTGTGCCTTAAACCGGACACTGTTCGTGCATGGTTCACTTGCGCCGCCCAACGTGTTAGAAATAATCATCAGTATTGCAGTACATTTTAATTTGGATTTTATTTGGCTATTGAACAGCTAATTTATATACGTCTGTTGCTTTTATAAACGAAGTGTGCAATTTTTAAATGAAATTTTGAAAACGTGGAGTTGTATGGAACTGAAGGTCGTAGGTAGTTTATGAAGTTTATTCATTGTACACTTACTAGGCAGATCCTGAAGATTGCCAAGCCTTTATTTGCAACTAAATTTTCCATTCAGTTAGAACATAACTTATATACAGTGACTGTATTAGATTTGAATTTCCTAGATGGATGAAAATATGCCTCAGAATGGGCATTAAATGTGCAAAATGTGGTGAATACTGAATATTCTTTTTTACATTTTAGTCATGTAACATTGAAAGTGAATGCAAAATAAATGCAAGACAAGAATTATTTTATAAACCCAAGACATAATAGTCATAGGTGAGTTTGCAAGTCACTTCATTTCAGTCCTCTGAATCAAGGGATTGCAGAAAAAAAAAAAAATCACCTTTCTTGTGGAGGTACTTGAGACTCTATTTCTACAAAAAGGTGATTTAAGAAAAAAGGCTGGGATTACCCTTTGAGCTAATCATTAGGGTGCAGTTTTGGGACTGCAGTGGCTTTGGTGGTCTGCAGAGTGGCGCGTGCTGGAGAAGAGGAGAGCAGGGAGAGGAGGAGGGGTTGTCCGTGCACTGGCTCGTCCCCCCTGCAGCTGCAGCGTTTCTGCTGCCGGCGATGCTCCGGCTGGTCATGGGCACGTGCAGCGGGTTACGCCGGAAAGCCACGTACTGCCGTAGCCACGTGAAGCCGTTTACTTTCACTGGGCTCTAAAGAAGGGCCGTTTGTTTTAAAAGCAGCTGGAAAGCGGTGGAAACCAGCGGTCTGGTTATCAGCTGGCACCTGAGGGCTGCACCCCCAGGTCAGTGACCAGGCTGTGAGTGCCGGCAGCCTTTCTCCTGGCTTCGGCAGCTCTTGGAGGGTTAAGCAATTAAGAGCATGAGCCTCTGAGAGATTACTCACCAGCACAAGGTGGTGCAATTCCTTTCTGTGTGATTAACAACGTTAGAGCAGATTAAGAAGCGGCCACGTGAGCTTTGCTGAGCCACTCTTCCCCAGCGTCGTTAATCAGATTGCACTGTCCCGTTTTGCTTCCATTGCTGGGTTAAGCCCAGTCTGGTGGCGTTGGTTTTGCTATTGACTGCCGTGCCCGTTGAGCCTCTGAAGGTGGCACGGGGAACTGCAGATGACTGAGAGTTGTACTAAGTGCCGCCGAAGTATTTCAAAATTCGGGGTTTCACAACGGTTTTTACCAAAGGAATGGGGGACCCGGAGACGCATTTTTGCTTTGCACACATTAGTAGGAAGATCACCCCATGCTGTTGGGAGCGAGGAGGAGCAGGGGGAGCTGTGTTTGTACAACTGTGCTAACAGGTATATGAGGAGGGTTAAGAAAAAAGGTGTTACCTGCACGTGCTGGGGTTTGTACAGGCTGAACGCACACACCGGCGTGGAGACTGCGACGCGGGAGAGCTTCAGGGGGACTGTGGCATCTCCCGCTTCTCCTCTCATACGGAGCTGAAGTTGGTTGATTGCTTTTATACTCAGCCGTTTTCCTGGATAAATGTGTATTCTAAAAATACGTTTTGGGGAGCAATGCTCTGGTACTTACACTGCTGCTCCTTATTGCTTCTTGCTCTGGTGGTCTTTTGTTGCAATTGCGCGGGCTGAGCATCGCTGGAAGGGACTCACCACGTCGTGTATTGTGTCGCAGATGACGTGCTCCTAAAGCTGCCTTCTTCCCAGCTGCGTTACGCACAAATTATGTAGAAACGGTTTGTTTAAGCAGTTCGCTAAGTGTGTTTGTTCTTCTCTGAGGACCGATGGATTCTGAGGCGAAAGGTTTTTTTAAAAAACTTTAAAAAAGCATGTATTTAGTCACAAAGCCATCCAGCAGCCTCTGCTCTGAAAGAGTCATGTCAGATGCTGTTCATACTCAGCCTTTCTCTCCTGGAGTAGAGTCAGCCCTGCTGGAAGAAAATAAAAGTTCTTATCTTGGGAAAGTCATTAGTTTTGCATTGTTTAGAAGTAAAAGTGTATTATATTTGTTAAACAAAACAACGCAGAGCATTGAATGAGATTTTCCTTGAATGCTGTTCACACTTACACTTAATATGTAATTTAAAATCTCATTGTACTCTTTGTTATTTCATTTTCTTTTGGGAGTGTGACATATTTACAAATTGCAAGTTAAAATACGCTCATATAGTTGAATGCACGGATAATGTACTTTCTCCTACAGTGACGTAATTTTTTCTGCACAAATATGACATTTACAGGCATTTTTTTCACGGAACATTTCATCTCTCTCTTTCTTCAGATCAGGAACGTTGAAACCAACCAGTGTTTAGACAACATGGGCCGCAAGGAAAATGAAAAAGTGGGCATTTTCAACTGCCACGGCATGGGAGGAAATCAGGTAAAATTAAAAAAAAAAAAAAGTACCGTTGGTACAATAACTGCTTCAACCTGCTGCTGTGTAACCACAGGCACACCAGCTACCAGGGGGAACTGATCAGAATTCCCGCGGAGCCGTGCGGGAGCTGCGGCTTCACCCCTCAGCATTTCTTTCCTGCTGCAGGAAAGGTGGGGCTGGTTTGCGCCCGCGGTGTGTGAGCCGGCCGGGACGGCGGAGGGCTCGGCGGGTGGGCGTCGGGTCCTGGGTGCCCTCTGCTTTTGTCATGGCAGACACGAGATCCCCTCAGCTAATGCAGCTCAAATGTAGACGTGTTGGTTCACTATAAAAATCAATAGCAGCAATTAGCAAACGTATTAATGAAAGTTCCAAAACGTTGGAGGTTTTGAGCGTAGGAGTTTTAGGAGTACTCGGAAAGCCATTTTCTCAAGTAACAGCTGCAAATTTTGAAAGCGTATCAGTACATATCCATAGGTCCAATGAAGTATCCGAGTGAATATATTGAATATATTCGTGCTGTTTAGAGTGCAGAGAAATGCATTTAAAGCTTCAGATGCTAACATTAGAAAATTTGATCATGAATTCTAATTTATTTTTTGGCGTTGGGGGGAAAAATCTTTTTTAAAATGAAAGGGGTAAGAATGTACGTGACTTGTGGCTGAATTCGTGAAAAATAAACGTGCGGAATATTCGTGCAAGCTGAGTTTTTTTCGTTAGTGGAAATTCAAATAGTGGGGGTGTGGGGTGTGTCACTTGGGTCTTGGGTATGTTTGAAAGGGAGCGAAAAGGTAAGTGGCAATCATTTAGCTCACTGTAAAACTCATGCCTGTACCCGCTCTCTGTATAAATGACAGTAAACTTTGCATATTCTGATGCCTCGGATTCAAATTAGCAGAGCTGATTCATTTGGGTTTAGTTGGGTTTTGCAGTGTAAACCTACAATTGAGGGGCTTTTGCCCAGGGAGGCTGTAGCCTACCGCTGCAGGACGGGGAGCGCGCAGCGCCCAGCGACGTGTGGCTGCCTGCGGGGAGCTGCCAGCCCGGGGGGGCTGTGAGGTCCCGGCAGCACCGGCACTGCTGCTGCCTACTCCTGTCCACCACAGGTGGTGGGAGCGGGCGGGATGCTCCTGCACGGTCTCCCATTTTCCCCATCGCTGATTTGACCTGGAAATCCGTCGGAACTTGCTGCAATCTCCTCCTTTTGCTTGCGCCCTTCTGAATGTAGTTTAGCCTTGTTTCTCTACTTTTTGGTTTGCTTTACCTTTGGAAAACCTTCCTCCTCTCCTTCCCCTTAATTCTGACAGCTTTCTCAGATTAAAGACTCCCGGTCCCTTCATTCAGCTTCTGACACACCCCAGAGCAGAGGGCTGCTCTTGCCCTCACCCACTGCAATTAAAATCCCTGGAGATCCCTCAGCAGGACCTTAAGTTAGTGCTGGCGTCTCTCCCCAGGAAGGTCTTTGGACCATATACCTACTAGGTAATGCTTGATGAGGGTGGCTTTTTCTAGTGCCACATCTGCTAAAAAAGATGGGAAGATGCAGGATCTTAGAGCAAATTCCCGTGTTTCTTTCAGAGGTAGGGTTGTCCATCATATTTATCCCAAACTTCACTATCTTTCTAAATTTGACTTGGGAGATGAAAGTGTTAGCATTTTAATAAGACTGCATATGATCAAGGTCGAAGATTCTCTTTATACCTTGGGTGTTTGGCACGTTTCCCCTTCTTTCTGCGGCGGAAAGACCCCTCTCTTTTTGTTGAAAGAGGAGAAAAGCCCTAGACGACTGTCACGTCTCCAAACCCGCAGTTCCTCTGAGGTGCCGGGTGTGAAGTTGAGTGTACTGTAAGGCTCTGAGATAAAGACAGATGGGTTGTGAATGTATATACGGACCGTATAGCCTAAAGAAACCCTAATAACTACTAAATATAACCATTCTTTCTGAGCCTTCCTAAGCCAATATATCTCAAATCTAAAGAAATTTTGGCTCCAGTCTCCTTTATACCGCTCACATCAACCTGAAATCACAGATAAATCCGTTGTGTGCACCTGCAGGACGAAGAGACTCTGCTCCCCTGCGTTTGCATGAACGAAGAGCAGTATCTGTCATCTGGCGGAGGTTTTGCTAGGAATACCTGACCTACATGCAGAACATTAGTCATCCTTTAGTGCTCATACACAATTCCCATTAAAAGTTATCTTTATTAAATTCTGTTCTAATGAGAAATTAGAACTGAGCTAAGACATGTAAATGCTGGGGGCGGGGGGGTTGTATGGTTACAGAAATAGCTGAGGAACAAAACTACTTCAGAATGAAAATGAAGCAAGAATAATATCTAGCTCATTAGAGCCGAGCAAGATGCATCGGCGCGACCCAGCTTGAGGCAGAGGCAAATATCTCACAGCTATTGAAGTGTTTTAAAGGACTTAAGAATAACAAGATTCTAAAAATCTGAATTTCTTTAAAAAATGAAGAAAAATGAAATCTGTTAACTGAGGCCCTTCATGGGAGAATTGTTTTCAGAGTATAAAACTGTGGAGGATTTGTTGTTATGTTGGCATGGGTATTTCAGATTATCCTAACTCGGTTAGGACCTGGTGACTATTAGTGATCTTTAAAATAAATACTACGAATCTCCTAATGCAGTTAAATGCAATCTTAGAACTGTTTTCTTTGCTCTATGTGGAGGGGAAAAAATGCAAAGCCTGTGCTCAAATCAGCTACGGTGGGGATACGGCTTTAGTGGCTGGAATATCAGGTTTGTGCATATATCTCCTGGGGTAGGGGCAGTGTGTTAACTTGCTTCAGTAGTGATGTTTTTCAGGAGGAAGGTGCCCAAGGTTGACTCCTGGTTAAAGAAAGCACTGACCATGTGTGGATCGTGGAAAAAACTTATTATCCTGCTTTCCAGCCTCAGACAGAGGGGATGACCCATCAGTCTCACGCCTTTCTTCCCCCACAGCTGACTCCTGGTTTTGTGGTGTTTTAGAGGAAATCTGTTCCTTTTGATGGCCTGGAAGAGGGTGAAACAGTCGTCTGGTTTTCCTGCCTACAGTCATCCTGATGGGCATACCGGTTAGGCTTTTGTTGCGTTACCATGGGAATGTCGTCTGTTTCTGCGGTTATTGGGAGTGTCAGGCCTCTGTTCATAACAATCATCGAATCATACGATCCCACACAGGCAGGAGGGGGATATTATTAAAAAGAAGGGCTGGGGAATTATGCAGGTTCGCAATTGCGCTGCAGGTGTATTGCAGATACGCTGGCGGGAGGGAGCTGGCGGAGGGCGGGAGGGCTGCCCGTGCTGCTGCGTTCGCTGGAGGAGAGAGCGTGGGTCAGCAGCCGCTCTCCCCGCCGCCGCTGCAGAGCAAACGAAACAACAAACACATTGCCATTTCTTACTTTTTTCTGTTTAACACCCCATGCCTTTTCTCTTGTCTGGAGCTTCAGTTGTGCTAGGTATAGCAGTGAACCTGCTTTTTGTCAGCAAAAAATCGCCAGGGAAGTAGCAAGCACACCTTCATTGTGGCCATGCGGTCACAAAGCCCCAAGAAGGGTCCTGTGGTGCTCCTTGCTTAGCCGGTGTGGCCCTGCGGATGATCTGTGCCATCACACGCTGCCATCTGCTCCTCAGTTTGGTCTCATCATGTCCGAGAGAGCAGCCGTGGAAAGTCTGGAGTGGTAAGAGCGGTCTGTTAGCAGCGTGGAGGTCAACTCCGTTGTCAAAGCACGCTCCCTGCATGTCCTTAGCAAGGAGGCTGGTTGATGCGAAGCTGACTGTAAACCTGAGACTAACAAAAGCAATAGCTGGAAGGGACAGCTTTTTCCTTCTGAGATGTTTCCTCTAGATAAATATCGTGGTGGTTTTTCCATACTGGTGAGAATAGCAGAGCAAGGTGTAAGCAGTAGTGCGGCTATGACCCACGTGGCTATTTCTCAGCATCCCGCGCAGCAGCGGCAGCCCCGCAGCTCCTGCTCAGGGTCCCAGCAGGTGCTCAGAGCCCTGGCAGAGGCGATGGTCTGGGCGATTTTTCACAATTTTACAGCCTGCACCGATTCCCCAAGCACAGAGGGATGCGCTGGCAAGTGGAAGAAACTTGCTTCATGCAAAACCTCTCCCCGGGCGGCTCAGGGCTGCTGGCCTCGACTGCCGGCTGCCGAGGCTGTCGGCGTCTTGTGTGCGTGGCAGCTCTGCGTGGGAGAAGGATTTTTTGGAAAGGACATTGTGGTTCCCGCAGGATGGGGAGTGTTTTGTCAGGATTCATTTTGAATGAATGTGGAATTGCATCAGCCAGGATCTTGCTCGGTATGAACTTACCTGGGGCAGCTCTTGCAGGGTGAGATCAGAATGAACATAATGTTTTATATGTTTTAGTAACTGTGCAAGGGGAACATGACTCCCTTCCGGCAATGTTTTAAACAGAAGGTTCAGACTCGGTGCTCACTGACAGTTCAAAAAAACCCAACACGCACAATAAGGATTGTTAGAGGGTTGGTTTTTCCCCAGTTAGCTCTAAATAATGGGTCTTTCAGAAACTGTTCTGTTTCATAGAGTTTCCATTTTTTTCCCATTCACAGTAAATGTGTGTATTTTCAAATGCCTTTCAAACATGAGCACTTTCTGTGTGGCGGTACGTAGAAAAATAATTTATAAACTCTCGCTCCGTAAGAATTTATTGGTATGCTATGACAATTTGCTTACTACTGGGAATGGATAGACATGCATGAGCTGTCTGACTCGTGAGATGTGTCTGTAATGGAAGGCCGCCGTTTTCAGTGGGTATAAAGAGTAATTTTTCCTGTGTTAATATCGCTGCCAGGTCAGAAGGAGGGAGAGGCATGCGATAGGTACCCTGACGGCGGGCAGGACAAGCTTGCTGTTGATGCCTGCAGAGCCATCTGATCACAGCTCGCACCTCGGCCACGGAAGACTAATGCAGGAGTCACATTTTACATTTTTAGTTAGCTAATTTGTCAACTGCACCTGTTCAGTAAGTCATCTAAA